GGTCTGGATACCTCACGCACCCTTACCACGCGATACATTGTTGGCCAGTTTGCCGTCGTGATTGCCTGAGTCACACTGTGTGATTTGCCCATAATTCTTGTGAACTGTTACCTGTACAATTTTTACATTGATTAAGCAGGTATGCCTCACGAATGCCTTGTAATGGGATTCCTGTTGAAAATGCGCACATTCTAAATTTGCATGCGTAATGTTTAATTTTGCACAACCATGTGTATTGCCATAAAAACTATGCACATCAATAAAAATTATTTGGATACATAAACTACAGACAGCTTTCGGACGTAAGAGATTACACGTTCTGCACGATTTTGTCAGGTCTGTTTCGCATGTGACATGCACTGTGTGAGCTGCATGTACAGCACGGTATATGTACTTGTGGGGCTGAGGCAGCTACATTATGCATCACACCGGCTGGCCTGAGAAATTTCACCATTCAAGCATTTTGATGAATATTGCCATGTGAGAACTATTAAATTCCCCTGTTGACATTTAATTCGGAAAATTCTTGGAGCCGTACATGTATTTATTAGAAATATATCTGCAATAAAATTAAAAGTAGGATCTCTTAATCAGTGTTGTAGGTCTCGAGACCGGTCTCGGTCTCAACAACCAGTGGTCTCGATAGTACCCAGTGGTCTCAGTCTTGATCTCGGTCTCAGATGTTGAAGGTCTTGATATTTTTCCTGGTATCGAGTCGAGACCAGTAAAAAAACATAGATCAACCATACTATGCACCATCTACTGTAATTCACGCCTTTGTATGTACTTCATGTTTTCAACCTCAGATTTATTCGGTGTGCTCTTGCATAGTATGACTATAGAATCATTGTAATAAGCACTGGGGGCAAGTGCAGATACTGTGGCACGTACTACACGGAGTATAGTACATGTATATCAGTCAACCAGTGCATGCATGTGGTGCGTGCTAGGGCCAACCACACACACGACTAAGGTACCTTTCCAAATGCACGTCAGCACTTGCGCCAAGCATTGCATACCAATCCAAATGACTCTGAGAGTAATTTTGATGGCCGAACGCAATACATACATGTACATGTGCTATGTGAATGTCTAAAGTCTGGTTGCCCGAATTTAATTTTCAGTTGCTGGATAAGAATGTTGTTGGTCTCTAAGCTTTTAGTAATTACAGTTGTTTTCCTAGTTCCGGATCTCTTGAAATAAATAGGCCTAGGCCTACCCACCTTTTTGCTATTGCTCTGCAGCGTTACACGCCTAAGACGTCTTCTTTTTGAAAGGTAAAATGAAAGTCTTGCTGTACAAATTTTGCTCCCAAAAAATTTCAAGAAAAGGAATTCTGGCCAAATTTGCGAATTGCACTTCAAAGTTTGTTGACGGTTTTTCAACAATCACAGAAGCACAAAAAAATCAACACCAAAAAATTACAGGTCAGTAGGTCACTTACTACACAAGATTCCATAAATGTTTTTCCTAGTTTTAGATAGAGCATGCACGTACACATACGAAAGTCTTGAACTCAACTACACATGCTTAACAGATTTGACTTAATGAGTTTGTCAACTTTGCGTCAAGAAGGGAATTTATGACTGATGGCTTGCTGAGCAGTTAAGTCAAAATTTATGCAGGCTATCCATTTTAATGCACTGAATTCTAATATATAAACTAATCCCCTTTAAAATGAGACATGCTTTACCAGAAAATATGCTTGTTACAATGTTTTTAGCTGAGAAATGGGTTTACGCTTCACTGCTTTTTATGTGTAAAGAAGATTTTAAAGAGATCCAGATTTGGCTGAACCGATCCAGTACTAGAAAAAGTGTCTTTGTCACTTTTGTAAGACAAAGTTAAAAGCTTAAAATTTGAAAATATTTTTGAAGTACCTCCTGCATACATGTACAAGGTAGACCTCTGACCCAATTTCAATGGAATTTGAAGATAATTGAGCTGTAACATGACTGAATAAATTTTTCACAATCTGGGAAACAACTGAATATAGACGCGACTGCATTGTTCATGCCAACTATTCGACCGGACATACCATGGTGCACCTACCCAAACAAGTACAGTCGTGCAACATCAAGGTTAGGATGTCAATCTTTTTTGGTGGTCTTTTTTTGAGATCTTTTGTCTGTGCATGGTGCTGAAATGCCTAAAATGCCGCAACCAAAAACCAGGTACTTGCCCATCGGGCTGGCAGCCTGAAACATTTGGTTGTCCAACAAAATATTTGGCTGTCCCGGGACGTCGGACTACCGATTCTGCAAGCCCTGATCTAACACAACTTTGTTTTATTTTAGGATGATCTAGGGGAGGGGGTTGAAACCTGCTAGAATTTAATCAATTTCATTTTGTAAATTTGTGCTTTCTTGATTTTACTGATGTATCATAATACTGCTATCCGGGAGCTTGCAAAGTACACGTATGCTCTAATGAGTAATGACTAAAGCATACATCATTAAAATTGTCTTTCTGTCCAAAAAATATTTCTTTGAAGATTACTTCTTATGTTGTGCCATTTTGTCAGCACATACATAAAAGGAGCAAGACAAGCATTTAAATAAAATGCTTCTTTAAAATGGACACAGTAATCATGGTGCTGTTAGGCAGATTGACATTAATTCTTTGTGTATGATCACTCAAGGTTATATTTTTTTAAGTCGTGGTTGACTGAACATGATAACAATGCAGCTTCCTTCCACACAATGCCTGGGAGAGCATCTTCTCCACACACCAATGCACAAACAATACACATCTCTGCTTTCTCTGCACACCCAGGATAGTCTTTTGTATATTCATGAGCGTATGTTTAAATGCGAATGGAATGATGTTAATTTTCAAGACGTATTTTTGCGTAGGGGAGATGTTAATTTACATAACGGGTTTTGCCCTTACCCAACATACAAGTATATATTATTAATAAACACTGCATGCTCAGTGCTTGTCCGAGAGCTTGCGAAAAAAGTCACAAGTTTACTCAGGTGGGACTCGAACCCACGACCTCCTGCTTACTAGTGCTGACGTCTTAAACACTCAACCACCGAGCTTGCCGGGGTCGGTGAATGAATAAGAATCAGACGTCCTAGGTGTAGTGACAAAAGCAACTGTTGATAGTAATTAATTATCTTAACTTTTGGAGTGACCGCTGACTTGTGATATGCCATTAGTGGCTCTGATTGTTCCTTGAGGTATTGCTGTTGGAAAAAGTTTTTTTAATTTAATAAAATTTGAGAAGTGTACATTGAACCTGTGGAGATTATTTCCCCACGATTGTCATTGAGCACTGTTAGAGAAAGGCACTAGTTCTGACAGTGGTTATTTTATACTTTGGTGTCACAAGTTTTTGTTCATAGAAAGACATTTTTGTTGTCAATCAGCTGACAAATAATACATTACATGTACTGTAAATCATTTAAACTGTGCACCTTTGTGTAGCAAATCTTTCTGTTGCGTTGTGCATGTGTGGCGCATTGCGGTGGTCCCATTTCTAATACCGCACTGCAACGCAGTGCCTTGCACATGCGTACTTGGGCAGGGTTTCCCGATGAGTCAGACGACCTTTTTCATCACATGAGGGTGCACCTGTGTGAGATTTGGCTACGCAAAAGCTCTGCATTGCAGTCACGTGGTTGGTCCACTGCGTGTGAGCACACTGTGGTTTGTGCCTCTAATTGGGCAGCCATTGCACGGGTGAATGCGAGCAGTTGGGCCAGACCATGAGGCCAGACTTAGCTTCCATACGTGTGGCGTGTGCGGCATACACAAAGATCTCCAATGCATTGTCACAGCCACCGCAAAAAGCTATTGGTTGGCCTGCCAACGCACTGGCTACTATGGGCCCACAGTAGCAATTGGGCCAATTCCTGCAAGTCGGATTTTGCGGTCATGGTGTGGTTACGTGTCTAGATGGATCATCATTGTAGCATGCTTGCAAGTGTTTCGGTGTGAAGAGACGAAGTGTGCATGTCAGAAATGATTCATAACTAGACCCGCATTCTGTTTACACTTTCTGGATGTTTTTTGGCAGCGGTTTCTTTTGGATCTCCTACACAAAAACTTCGAGGTAAACGAATCTGGCAATGTGAGCAGTTCAAGTTACGGATTTGTTTTTGTACATGAAAGCCTATTCTTTCAGCCGGAATTAATTATTCTTCGAGTTAAGTGGAGTTTCGAGTTAACAGATTTTGAGTTATTGAGATTTTACTGTACGTTGATAGAATTTACTCCTCTGTGGGTAGGAAGCATGAGAGACTGTGACAAGGTATGACAATAAATCTGTCCCTTGTCAGGAGCTCTAGGGTGACACTGCAACAGTACTTTATGAGTGTCCAGTGCAAGCAGTTTTCGAACATACACTGGCCCCATGTTAAACTGATGGAGTTTGCAAGTTCAATGGGTCGAAATCAGTGGAAAACAAAGCAGTTGTCAATGTCATCAATCTCCGAGTCGCTGTCATCATCATCGGTGATGGTGGTGCTCTAAAGCAAACCAATTTTTGAAGAGGCTTGAAGTTGAAACACATTTGAGCACGGATGGGGCGAAGTGGAGATGGGGCGAAGTGGTTAGGGGCGAAGTGGTTATGGGCGAGGTGGTTAGGGGCAATGTGGAAATGGGGCGAAGTGACTGTAAACAGTGTCAGACACCTTATATTTATAAATAAATCGGCACATTCAAAATCCCATAGTGTTACAAAGCAGCGAAAAGTTGCACTGTGAGGCACACGTAGGATATGGAGAGCGCCTCAAAAATCTGGGATAGAGGAGAACTTGCCCACATTGGTCACAGTCATTGACAGTCATGACATTGATTAGCCTAACCGTTACTAACCATGCTAATTGCGTTTGTGTAGTGAGTCCGAGTCCAGGCAACGTTCGTCATGTTCGTCGTGCTCGTGGACGGGGGCTTGCAAAGCTTGAAACAACACACTCATCATGCTCACAGTGTCGTAGTCATATTCACATTGTCTTGTTTGTCATGTTTATGAAACAAGATGTAATACCTACCGTTTTAAGGTTAGCCTTGTCGAGTACGAATTGCACCAATACACAACACGTGCTCCAACCTATACCTCGAATGCTCCCACATGCGTGCATGCACCAAACCATAGCACGAGAGATGCAACGCGACGCCGGTATGCTCTTAACTACGGAGGCCCGTTAGTGCCAATTTGAACAATGCAAACATTTTTTGTTGCAATATTGTTCTTATAAATCATTTCTGGTAATCACACCAAGGATTCCTCAAAAGCACCCTCAGCACTGTAGCTCACAAGCCTGAAGAAACCTGTAGAGAGGAGGGTATAATGCGCACGCATCCTACTCTTGTTAACCGGAGCAACCGCGCCAACGTGCCCCAACTGTTGCATTATTTCGCAGAGTTATTGCATTATTATGCAATATTATTGTATTCTTTCATGATAAGCATTATTTTTGCAGGGTTAACATTTCGCAAGACTGTTGCGTTATTAAAAAAAATGTTGCGATATTTTGCAATATTATTGCGTTATTTTGCAATAAACAAAATTTTTGCCCACATGTAGTTAAAATTGGCACTAACGGGCTTCCGTCGTTTACACGTCAGGGAACCAGACTAACGTATTATTTTTGGCTTGCGGCCACTGATCTCGATTATACTTGAAGCACAGATGTATATAATAAGGACTCGCAATGCCCTTAATAAGCTTATGGGTGCAGACCAGTGAATCAGTTGCCATAGACAACAGTGAAAGATATCCTCACTTCAAAAAATCAGGAAAAATACTCACAAGTTTCACAGGTGTTCAAGACACATATCAAATTCATCATCTTTCATTTTTCCCTTCAATTTTCAGTGGCTTAACCGATGACTTTTGAAGATATTTCTCTCCAGAGAAAATCCCCCCTAAAAACAGTCAGGGGGTCCATCCGATCCATTTTGGAAATTAATTCCTACATTCCAAGGCAAAATAGAGCCATTTGGAGGGCTCCGTTTGGTCCGATACTTTCAGAAATACAAGCTGACAGTCCTGCCCCTGTATTTCATCCACCTTTTTAACAAACCGCACAGTCCGTGTGCCACGAAAGGCTCTAATAGAGAATTTGACAGCCTACAAATCGCGATTTGGTCTGCATGGGCAATTTTTCACCTATTTACTTGCATGCAATCTTATAGAGTTTGAATGCACTTGGGACCATTTTACCGAGCCGAATACAGAGCTTGCCCGGCTCTCTTCTATTGGCGTCGGGAAGAACAAAGACAGGCATTGCCAGGAAAGCTTTGTATTCGGCTCGGTAAACGTGAGTGGATTCAATGATCTCTACAAGGTGATTAAGGGCATTGCGAGCCTGATTTTATTAAACACATTTGTATTCGGCTCAGTAAAATGGCCGCTGGTTGACTTCTATTTCATACAAAGCTGGCAAGTCCAGGTTTTTTGAAAATACGTCCATGGCTTGAGGCGGATTCCACCAAATGGTCGTATTTCTATGCACGAGTCATTGATATTTACAGTAAGACAGGCCATATCAGGAGGCATCGTAGAAATATATCTATAAATCCCGAATTTAGGACTGATAGTTTCCAGTTCAGGGGATTTCTTTCACAAAAAGCCAAACATTGCAGGCCTAAATTGGACAGAGGCGGGCGGCTACATTCAGAAATTAGCGCTTAGTTTTACTGCTATTTTTGGGGGTATTTTCGTTTAAAGGCGATAAAAAAAATTAAAATTCTTGACTAGCCCCATGAAATTGAAACGAAAAGTTATCTTCCGGCCATAATCTTGAATATCCAGTGAAAAAAAAAAACGGAGGCCGACCCCTTCACGAGAGTCAACAGGCGGCTCTATTTCGGTCCGATTTTGCACTGTTTTCTACGGGCGCGTGTTTGGTGTAGTGCAACCTTGAAATTACACATGAGTCTATGGAACTGGCCGCGGTCAGTTCCTATGGAATTGTGTGTTATTTTCGGCAGTAGCCAAGTGATTCGGACACGTACAGCCTATCGTTGACACTGCATGTCCCGAAGCTATTATTTAGTCAAGGTGCGCGCTTTGCTCGTCGCCCAGCACCCGAACGTGGCGCTGGGTTGGCAGGGCTAGGGCAAATGGCATTGTATCATTCCCATGGGTACGATCTTGCCGCCTCAAACTGGTTCCCACTACGCCTTGCGCGATCTAACCCATAGTATTTCTATCATTTGAATATCCCACTATATTTAAATTGGGCCTTTAGTGAGTGTGTTTACGTGCGATGCAGATTTAAGCGTGCGTGACGTGCAGGAGAATACGTGGACGCGAGCGTGCATGCTTTTGCAATACACATGCGATCGACTTCACTTTTATGTATGTTCATCCCGTAGACATATAAACCACTACCCGTGGACAGACAGCTCCTATTCAGAGAAACGGCGGGGTACCGTAGCCGAGAGGGCATCCGACTAAATCAAAAAGTGTGGGCAAATTCACCCACATAATTCTTCAACTGTGTGTAAATTCAAAGGGAATTTGCACACAGTTGAAGAATTGCAGCCATGACATTCTATGAAGCCATTTCGATTGTGAACAAAATCGTCTATTTACTTAATCTGGCCCATGCATATTCCAAACAATGTGGTTGCAACATTTGAAAAGAAAAGATAACAGTACCAAAGAGTAAAAAAGAAACGTATTTTGAAAGCACATGTAAATAAATCTGCATTCCCAGTGCGTCACGTGCAATTCGCACTGACGCGATGCCATTCATCGTTCGCCCACTGCTTGCCCTCCCTTTTCAAAATCAAGGTTGTACGCGCAACACTGGTGGTCTATATGTCTGTGGTTAACAGTTCATCCAGGGGTTAGTGAAGGAACGCGCACGCAGCCCATGTCGAGGTTGGCCTTGTACCAACCTGTGAAATATGGAAGGGCTGCGTTGCACCGTGATCAGAATACCGACAAAAATATAATATCAAATCAATGCTCTGAAATGTGTGATTGCTGAGCTTTCGGTAACTGAATACCTTCTTCAGGGCAAGCAGATTCAGTTCGGAAAGAACGCGGAAAAATTCACCTTCATTCCCCCTGGATGCAGCGTTCCAAGCTCGAAAATGACGCGCTGCTCCAGTTCCTTACACTGTACATCAGATGACGCTTTCCGCAGGATGCAGACGCTTACGCCACCGAGGGTATGTGGCGGCGCGCAAAAGTGCTGTGCAACAGTGAGACCAGGTGTTTGTTGGCGCACACTGCGCAAGCGTTCCGCGAAGCGGTCACCAAGGTGACGCTTGGTCTCTCCGATGTAAAGTTTACCACAGCGACGACATGTAATGCAATAAACCACATAACTCCAGTGGTCCTCGGTCGAACTTGCCCATGGCGGCTCAACTGGTAACACGAACTTCTGGTTGCATGACACCAAATACGTTCCCGTAGAAACAGTGCAAAATCAGACGGAAATAGCGCCGCCTGTTGACTCTCGGGAAGAAGGTGGCCTCCGTTTTTTCCCCGGAAATTCAACATTATGGCCAGAAGATCACATTTCGTTTCAAGTTTATGGAAGTTAGCCACGATTTTTTTTTAAATTCGCCTTTCCTCGAAGATACCCCCAAAATAGTAGTAAAACTATGCGCTCAGCTCTGAATGTAGCCACCCGCCTCTATCCAAAATAGGCCCACGATTTTGGTCTTTTTGTAAAAGAAATACACGTACCCCTAACTGAAACCTACCAGTCCCATTCAGGATTTATAGAAAATCCCTCCTGATTATGGCATGTCTTATTGTAAAAACACTGTGGGATAACAAATACTAGTGAGCTCGTGCGCAGAAATCCAACGACTTGGTCTTGGTGGAATGCACCCCTCAGAAGACCTGGCCCTGGTAGTCTTTCGTCGTGCCAACAGCCGAGGTGCGCAAATATAGACTGCGATGTACTATCCTCCCTGAGCTGAAATGTACCCCCCCCCCAATCGGCGGAAGAAAGACAGATGGCATGGGGGGTTGCGCATGATGTGCGTGCAACGGCCTGTGCGCCTCTTCCATTTATTAGAAGAGGGTGTTCGTAAGGAACTGCTTCATGTAGGGCTATAATATCCAACGTTTCTGTTATCTACGAGGATTATTGAAGCACTAATTCTATTTCCAGTGTGTTTACGAGTCCTTTGTCTCATGGAGATTCTAGAATTAGAAAAGGATTCCCATTTTGGCTTCTTGGTCCTGCTGTGAATCCTGCACGCGAACACGCTTATAATTCATACGCTGCGCCGTGATCTCCTCAAATTAACACCTCTAACATCCATGCATAACAACAATTTATTTTGTAAAACTCCCACCTTTACGTTGAGGTTTTTCCTGAAATGTGAAAGCCTCACCTGCAGACTGTAGTCGTTAAAAGGAACCCTTCCCTTCAACTTGACTGTTTTTTTCCACACCGTTGTTTAAAAAATAAACGATGCGTCCCATTTAAATTCTGTCCAGTAAGTTTGGTATGCGTATCCGCCCGAGTTGAAGTGCACCCCAAGCAGCAAAAGAAAGACAGATGGTTGTAAGTTTTTCAAGCGGGTTGTTGCACACGTTCTGCCTTTACGCAAAGACCATACTTTAATTGAGGAATAAATTCGTTACACGTACTCGGCGTACCCCGCGTCGCAAACGTGCCACCGATCTCCATTTTTCAGTTCATTTTTATGATTTATATTTTGGAATTTTTTTGTTAGAAATAAATCCGAACCTGGCAATGTTTTTTCTTGAAAGTTAATTTGGAAATAATACAGGCCTACCTCATTGAAAAAAAAGTTCATAATACAATATAATTCCTAAAAACTATTTGTTACCAACAAAATGGAAACATTATTTATAAATATATATGTTACTAGAACGAACAAGTGAATGTGTGTCTCGAACAAGCAAAATTTGGAAAAACGCTGTTTTTTTTGTCGAAAAACACTGTTTTTTTTTCCCGAAAATCTCTGCATTCAAATCTTGCCGCCCTCTGCTGGATTGCTTCTAGTCTGTTTTTGTGATGTTGGTGGTACGGATCCCAGAAACTAGCACAATATTCCAGCTTAGGTGTGACTAGGGTTTTGTAGGCAATATCCTTCACCATTAGAGAGCAGCTGTGGGGGTTTCTACGGATTAAACCAAGCATTTTGTTTGCCTCTGAAGAGACACTGCTTATTAT